TTCATAATATCGACTTATCACCACAAAGTTTATTCAATGATAAGAACAAAGAAATTGCAAATTATCAAAAATTCTTTTTACATTGTTAATTCACGAAGCTAACTCTGAACAAGTACATTATTTCACGCGGCCGGTTCTGTGTTCTTGGTATACGTTGGGAGAAAAAAATATTGGCTTCAAGCCAAATCAAAGGCTGGATCATCTCGTTTTTCCTCGTTTTCGTAATTCTCAGGAGAATAAGTGATAAAAATCTTAGTGCGCCCAATAATTTCAGACATTTTTCCAAAAGATATTATCGGGGCTATATTTTGACATTATTCATTAATTTAACTTACAAGAAGAATAAATAAATATAAAGAATAGTTATAAGTATATCCGCCCAATGTGTAAATCCTTTAGCCATTTTAACTGCACTACTTTATGCTGACACGACCACGTGGTTAACACCGAAATATCTGCTGTACAATGTATACTCTATACGATTTGAGTATACATATAAAGTATATTTAGTTATTTACTTTAATGACTGAAATTACATTATGCAATCAGCCTTCCGTGTTTTGGTTGGGCGGGATTTAAAAGATTCACTCGCTAACTGACTGTTGGCCTTTTATTGGATACGCAATCTAGATAACATTTACGTGCTCGATAAATGTTACATACATGACATCTGTTGTTTTTTTACTGTGTTCTAAGATTTCATTTATTTAAGGGATGCGGTGGCCTAGTGTTTAACCACAAGCACTGTCGACTGCTCATGTTTGTACAGTCTTTACCAAAAAATCAATTTCATTGATAAACTTTCATTTATGTGGCGATGTTTCTGCAGGATATACATGAAAGATCTGACGAAACATTCCCAAGGAATCAATTCCCCTAAGAAATAAAAAATGTAACGCAAAGTTGTTTTGAAAGACATTGGTTTACATACATATATAATTTGAGCCGCGTCACGACAAAACCAACATAATGGATTTGCGACCAGCATGGATCCAGACCAGCCTGCGCATCCGCGCAGTCTGATCAGAATCCATGCTGTTCGCTATCAGTTACTCTACTTGTAATATGGTTGGTAAGCGAACAGCATGGATCCTGATCAGACTGCGCGGATGCGCAGGCTGGTCTGGATCCATGCTGGTCGCAAACCCATTATGTTGGTTTTGTCGTGACGCGGCTTATTTATAATTGAGATTTCTTAATTGTTTAGTTCAAATTGTGTAGTACTAAAGTCACATCTCACAGATGGAGGCGCTTTTGCTGTATTATTATATACTAAGATATGTACAAACAGTCAATACTATAATACCAACATACCATAATGTATTTACACTTAGAATTCCTCATGCCCTCCTCAGTAAATACAAAAATATATACTTACAATGCAGATAAATATTTGGCTCTGGGTAATTTTGCGGCTTTTTAATTATAAAGAGCCTTAACTCAAAACCACACAAATAGTATTAGATGAAATTTATTATGAATCATTTTTATCTTGACTTATACATTTAACAAAGCAAATCAACTGTTTTCCTTTTAAATATCTATTTTAAAGTACTCATTCATGCGTACTTGGAAATGATCATCATTTGTGCTGTATTTCATAATAATCCAATCAAATAATTGCTAAAGTTTTAAAAAGATGATAATTTTTCCTTTATGATACCTTTTTATAAAAAGAAACAATGTTTAATAACTATAAAAAATCTTGATGACATATGGCGAGAATAAATTTAAAAGCTAAATCAAGCCGGACGTTGAATAAAGCACTACTAACGAAATAATTTTTGTTTACTACTAGTCCGATATATATGAGCCGCGTCACGACAAAACCAACATAATGGGTTTGCGACCAGCATGGATCCAGACCAGCCTGCGCATCCGCGCAGTCTGATCAGGATCCATGCTATTCGCTATCAGTTTCTCTACTTGTTATAGGGTATGTAAGCGAACAGCATGGATCCTGATCAGACTGTGCGGATGCGCAGGCTGGTCTGGATCCATGCTGGTCGCAAACCCATTATGTTGGTTTTGTCGTGACGCGCGGCTCCTATAATTTTTTTATAAAGTTCACTGTGTATGGTTGAAAAGTATTTCTTATGTGCATCTATAGCATTAATATATTTTTCAACTTAAGAAAATGTTACAAATGTAAAAAGTCTTACAAAGACATACAGCAGGTTTAAAATTGTATAAGAGATTTTGTTTAAACTTTGAATTGTTTAGAATAGAACCGAAACATTTTAAGCTTAAGTTTGGAAATACGATGTCCGTACCTGAGTCTACCACATGCATCATAAAAAGGCTTGAAGCTTTAAAAGTCAATTTGAGCCGCGTCATGACAAAACCAACATAATGGGTTTGCGACCAGCATGGATCCAGACCAGCCTGCGCATCCGCGCAGTCTGATCAGGATCCATGCTGTTCGCTTACCAACCCTATAACACATAGAGAAACTGATAGCGAACAGCAGGGGTCCTGATCAGACTGCGCGGATGCGCAGGCTGGTCTGGATCCATGCTGGTCGCAAACACATTATGTTGGTTTTGTCATGACGCGGCTCATTTCACAAATTCAAAAGGTGAAGGATTAGGCTTGCAAATATGTGCAGTCTTTCCAGTGTCAGCATTGTCGGCTTATCAAGTTTAGTCTATTTTTTTCTTTCACATACATACAAGTAGGAAAAGTCGTTTATACAAAGCCAGGTATGTGATTTAACGGAAAACTAAGTTACATTTAAAAATAAAAGTAATGACACATGAAGAAAATGGATGTTTCGGGAAAACCCGTATGAGAAAGACCAAGCATAAATGTGCAAACTGAGCCGAACTGTCCCACACAATTTCTAGCAAACGAAATAAAAGAAAATACTTAAAGACAAACCGCAATAAAATACAAACTCGGCTTATTCGTCTCACACAATTCAAAAAGACAAGGAAAACGTTACGCCGACATTTGAATATCTCTTCCATCAATCACGACGAATGCGTAGCGAAGATTCCTTGTATTATACTAAGAAAGAGAACGAAAAAACAAAAAGGGAAGTAACTTATATGCATTGTATAGTTTTTCTCCCTTTCCAGAAGATGGGGTTCAATAGATGAGGTTAAAGGCACATCACGACGATAACTACCATTATCCTGGAAAGAGAAAGAAAACAACAAACAGCAGCAAAATTATAATTTCAAATTAAGTATTCTCAGATAGAAGTCAATGAAACACGTTCTATTAAAAGAAATATCATTTTCGTTTAAAAACACGAAACCAAAAGTGTAGAGAATTTAAACGTTTTTCATCTGAGTATATTCTATATCTTAAATTAGACAGGAATTTTTCAATGACAGTCCTTTCGGAAACTTTCTTATTGTGATACGATTTAACCAAATTATATATCTAGAAATTGATGAAATGACTAAACATGTGTATAATATCGTTATTAAATTTAGGTAAATCAAAAAATCTAAAAACTTTTTCACTGAATTTGATTTTATTTTCTCTTAGTGTTTAGTAAATATATAGTTATAGTATTAAGGGGTTTAAAGAAGGATCATTCAATAAATAAGTGAAAATGTATCTTTTCAGTAAGAAGTAAAAGAGCTTTTAAACACATGTTATAAAGAGGAGGGCAAAATTCACTATGCGGAAAATAATTTTCATGTAAAGATTCGTTAAATTTTCTTAATTGTAACCAAATCCAGTATTTTACAAAATAAAACCAAGGAGAAGATCTACAATGAACTGTATCTTGTATATGTTTTAAAAGGAGTGAAAACCATTTTAATTTTATATTAGGCACATTTAAGCCGCCGTCTTCGAAAGGTAAATATAATGTTTTTTTCCAGAAAAAGGAAACAGGAATTCCAAATAAACTTAAAAGAGGCTCTTTGAAATGAAATTGAATAATGTAATCTTTGACCCTGATATATTTTAAAGAAATTCTTCAAAAATGACTGCCAAGATAGAGAGAAATAAAGAATCCCTAAAGCTTGAAAATATAAAATGTTTCTTTTTTTCCCAAATCAAAACCATGTTGTCATGCGACGTAATACAATTTTCTTGTTTTTTGCATTTGTTGTTTTATAAGTCAGTTTTGAAGGTTAGTTACGAAAGTAAGGTGTGTTTATTTAATGAATTTTAATTATTTTATTTACTATTTCTTTGAAGATAATATAAAAATAAATACATGTGCTCATGTAGTAAAAGGTTAAAGCACGCGACTTGTCTTACAGAGTGGTGTATTATGAGATTTTCTGGCACCGCTGTACACAATAAAATCTCCTGTCTGATATGCAAGAAAATGTGCAATCATATCCCGAGAGCAGATATTAAACAAATGCCAATTTGATGTTGTTGAAGATGGCAATAATTATTATTTAGCATAATATTGAATCAGTTTTTCCCTTTTTTAAAATATTGTTTTACGAGTCAGATATAACAGATATAATGACGCCTCATTTTGTTTCTTTTCCATTTTGTTTTCCTTTCCCCCTTTTGAAGACAATTCTGTAAATATTCTGCATTCATAATAAAAAAAAGTTCTATCAATGAGTATTTCCTATAACAAAAGCAGTGTCATTTTTTTGTCAAAGATATATGCATGTCATTTTCAATTTTGTTACATTTTTTGTATAAAAGGTATACAAAGGTATATCTATATTTTATGTTCAACATATTCACAAAAAGAATTACGCAATTATTATATCTCATTGTAAACAAAAGAGGTCATGTGATACACAAGTTATAGTTAAGCTTTACAAATGTCAATTAAAATTTTTATAATATCTAATTCTATGTACACATGGAATCATATAACAAGTCTAATATCATGATACATGTATAATAGTATAAACTACGCATATAAAGTACTTCTCCTTAAAACACTTGATGTAAGATACAAAAAATAGAATTGGCTCCTTCTCAAATTTGTAGTTTTATCTTTATATTCAAGTACTTTTGAATGAGAATATTCAGGTGTTGATTTGTTCTAAGAAAAATACATCAGCAATAGACATTCTTAAGAGAGAAAACTTAACGTCATGTTTTGATAGAATAGTGTACGAACGGGATAATTATTTGTTCTAAAATATTAAGGATTGGTGAATTTTATGTTGTTTTGAAATTGAATTGATGGAGGAAAATCGTTCATGCTAGCTTTAAGAACGTTTGATAACAAATAGGATAAACTTTACTTCATTTTCATAGTTACACATGAATATGCAGCTGTTTGGAATAGTAAAAGTTCTTCTTTTCATCGTACATGTAATTCATTTGACGAGTTCAACAAAGGAATTTGATCGTCTAAAGTCAATGGTCAAGCATTTAGAAAATAGACTTAATACCGAAGGTGAGTTTAGAGACGAAGATATTGCTGAAATAACAATTCGACTAGATGGCATCGATAAAGTGTTAAATGCGACAATCAGGAAAAAACAGCCCGTAACTTTAGCAACCACAAAAGCTAGTAAGATTGATTTTGAAACAGTGGATACATTGAAAGAGGATTTCACGAGACTCAGGACTGCTTTCACAGAGGAAAAGTCTGAGGCTGTAAGGTTCCGACGGGAAATTCCAAAGATTGAAAAGAATTTGATATCCCTTAACAAAGACGTTGAAAGTTATTGCAAAATCGCTGTCAATAATACTGATCAATTATTAACCAACTTTGAGACGGTCAAATATGTTTCTGAAGACAATTTAATAACGTCTGAAAATGACCGTAAAGTGTTACAAAGTATCGCTAAACAGGTTCAGCAGAACACGAAACAAATTGAAAACCTTGAAACTCTCATAACTAATTTATATTCGCATATGGAAGATTTATTATATCCTACCTCCTGTCGTTCGTTTGCAGCAGTCAATGGAGTAAACAAATTACGACAAGGTTTCGAAATTTACTGTGACCAAACAACAACTGGTGGTGGCTGGATAGTATTTCAAAGAAGACTGAATGGTAAAACAGATTTTTATCGTACCTGGGCTGAATATAAAAACGGCTTTGGTGATCTAAATGGTGAGTTCTGGCTCGGCAATGAATATTTGAGTCTACTGACATCAAATGGCGTACACGAACTTCGGATAGAGATTGAAGATTTTGAGGGAAACAGTGCATATGCTAAGTACAGTCAGTTTAAGATATATCCTGAAGAAAACAATTACAAACTGGAAGTGAGCGGATACAATGGAACTGCAGAAGATTCTCTTGACTATCATAATGGAATGATGTTCACAACGTATGACAGAGACCATGATAAATGGTCGTCAAATTGTGCGGAACGTTGGCATGGTGCGTGGTGGTATAATGGTTGCTTCCATGCCAATCTCAATGGACAGTATCATAACCAGCCTGGTAATTTAGACGGTACTTTAATTAATTGGTATCTTTGGAAGAAAAAATACTACAATTTGAAAAAAGTAGAAATGAAATTCCGTTGACTTGTTAAACTATGATTATTCATTGTCATCGTTATAAAACTGATGAAATAATAAGTGTAGTTTTGCGTTATAGATGTAAACGGTAAAGAAACTTGGACTACGATAGCTGATGAAGGAATATACACTGAACGATTCACTATCAGGCTGATTCGTTAATGCGAATGTTACCCGACATAACATAGTGCCCCAAAATGTTTTGTATTATAATTAATATTATACTTTTACGCTTATATAATATGTTATTTTTATTTTCATTCGGAATGATAATAAGAAAGACAAACTGTGACTTTAGCTGCAACATTTTCAATTTTGTTGTGTTGGACTTTCTTTAGGGATTCTATTATTCTCTATTTTAGAATAAATATCCTGATTAGATGTCTACAGTATTCGCTTTAAATACAATGTTCTGCACATATATCACTCGGTTAACATTGAACGTAATTATCTTAACAGTACATAGAATGGATCAAGCTTACAAAATTGTCCTAAACAGAATAAAATGAATACCGACAGGACAAATGTTTTGACGGCCATGCAGTACAATCAAAAGGATTGGTCATAACGTTTATTAAAAATTTAGGAAAAGAACTTCTATACACACAGATCAAATTGTCGCTATGTAAAATCAATGTTTACCGTTGATATAAATAATCAGATTCTAACTAGCATTTTACTATATTTACTGCATTATCAAATGCAAAATTTTATCATAGATTTCACTACAATGTAATGCACTCGAGGCAAACGTATTTTTTCAGAATAGCTATGTAAAAGTATATACTGAAAACATATACTGAAAACAACTGCAAGGAAGAAGAGCGTTAGAAGTCGTGTTCCATTCTAGTTATTATTTAATATGTGTATATGTACAATCTGATAATAACATATAATGATAACCACAAATGAAACCACCTCGCAATTAAGACCACTTTGGTGCAGTCCCGTTTGTGGTGTTAATAGAGAGGTTTTATTGTATACGATATTTCATAATATTGACTTATCAATACAAAGTTTATTTAAGGACTTAAAATAATGAAAACGCAAATTATTAAAAATTCTTTTTACATTGTTAAATCACGAAACTAATACTCTGAATACATTCTTACACTCGGTCGGCTTTGTTTTCTTGGTAAACGTATTATTGTTTTGCAAAAAATTGATTTATTCGAAATCAAAAACTGGATATTTTAAGATGTAGCTCTTTACAGGTTGTTTCCACGCGCCAGTAATTTTTCCTCGTTTTCGTAATTCTCAGGAGAATAAGAGATAAACATCTTAGCGCGCCAATTTATTTAAGACATTTTTCCAAAAGATAGTATCGTGGCTATTTTGCATAATATTGGTTAATTTATCTTACCCAGGGTCCAACAGCTAAAACAAAGGCAAAATGAAGTATAGTTGTAAGTAAATCCGCCCAATGTGTTAGTTTTTTAGCCATTTTAACTGCACTACTTTTATTGAAACGTAATGCTGACACAACCACCTTGTTAACACCGAAATATCTGCTACGCGAAACTGCTGTAAAATGTATACTCTATGCGACTTGAGTCTAAATATAAAGTATTTTCAGTAATTTTCGTTTATGACTGAGATTACATTATGCAATCAGCCTCTCTTTTTTCGGGGGAGGGTAAAGATTCACTTTTTATTGAAGGACTCGCTAACTGACTGTTGACTTATATGATGCGCAATCTAGTTTATATTACGTGCTCTATAAATGTTACATGCATGACATCATTCTGTTGTTTTTACTGTGTTCTTAGATTTCATTTATTTATCTTTTTATTTTATAATTGAGTTTCCTTTATTATTTTTCAAGACGTTGTACACGTTAGACGTTACATTCTTCATTGAACTTTCGCTTTATGAATAGCAGTTTATTTTAAATGACGGTATTTTCGAGGGATCTTCATTTTTTCTAAGACTTCAAGATTTTTAGCTCAATGCAGTCAAGCTTTTTTTAGTCGAAGAAAATACGCCATCTTCGATGTGTTAGTTTTATCCACCTGATCTTTTTGAATAAATATTTCCAAAGACATTTGATTTAAAGACGTAAACAGGTGCAAGGATTCATTTTAAATGTTGCACTTTGCATAAACAAGGTAAAAATGCATTATTTCATCAAGTTAAAGTCCTGTCAAATGTAAAAGAAGTTGAACAAAGAGGTCATTATAGAATGTTAAGAACAATACTGAAACTTTCGAAATCGTACACAGTTGCAATATAATATTAGATTGGGCTAGTGCCATGTCCATTTAGGTACACGGCCCTTAGTGAATAAAAACACTTGAATGTTATTATTTATTTTGCGAGCCGATCATCACATTCTGGCCCAACATTGCCGTGTATTAGCCTTTTCATATTGAACGACATAATGTGCATTAATCGTTACTATTATTTAACTTTTAAATATTAGGCACGTTCTCACTTCAAATGTAAGGCTTAAATGAAGTTCACCACGACATTATGAACATAAAACAATTGTGAAAAATGTACGGCCTTTATGAGAAAACTCGGAAATTTTGAGATTTGAGATTGAGAATTTTGATTGGCTCTCTCGCTGGGCCATTATAAATATGCCTTCCATCATTTCGGCTGCAGACCAATGTTTAAATCACCGTCACATCCAATCTTTAATTCACCGTCACATCCAATGTTTAAATCGTTGTAACAGCTCTTAGTGTCAGCAGAAGAATTTGTTTGTGTGTCCAAATGCTGCATTTTTAAGGTTCCGAGGCAAAGCACTGTCGGCGCTAAAGTCTGTACAGTCTTTCAAGTGCGAGCACTTTCGGGTGTACAAGTTTTTACAGTCCTTCCAGCGCAAGCACTGTCAGCTGCTCACGTTTGTACAGTCTTTCCAGTGCCCGCACTGTCGGCTGCTCAATGTTGTACATCTTTCAAGTGCAAGCACTGTCGGCTGCTCAACTATTTACAGTCTTTCTAGTGTCAGCACTGTCGTCTGCTTAAATTTGCACAGTCTTTCCAGTACCAACGCTGTCGGCTGCTCAAGTTTATACAGTCTTTCTAGTGCAAGCACTGTCGGCTGCTCAACTTTTCTGTACGAAATCTGCTGTGGTCATAGTATTATTTTTACAATAGTTTCGTCTTACAATTGGTCTGGGATTTATGTGTTGATCATGGTCATGTAAATACATCATTAAATAAAGAGAGAGACGCTTGTTTTTGGTTGAGTCCATTATGTTTTATTTAGGGGTGAAATGTAAAACCTTTATTTACAATTTATATAACATTTAATGTTTTCGGTAATTTTAAGATTTGTGTTAATTCTGGAATTGTTTCAACATATTTTTTCGGGGATTAAATTGTGATTAAAACAATTAAAGTCAGAACTGCAATGGAAATAACTTAGTCCACACCTATGTTGATTTGATCACGTGACAATGTAAGCCAATGAAAAAACATCAACAAACAGGCAGCCATTAAGGAAGAGAGAGGGTTTATTTCAGAGCGATAATTTAAATGTACTAGCAAGTTTAAACTGTAAGTATTGATTTTTTATGCTTTATTTATATTGTAGATTAGTGTTTATTTAATGATCTGCTTGATTTCCCATTGTCAGTTCGTGTTAGCTATGATTTAGAATGTCTAGGTGACCTAATTACAAGCTGGCTTGGAGAACAAATGACTTTTTGGCGGGAAGAAATGGTTGGTTTGTTATTGTTTGTATATATCTGTCTTTGTTCTATTTGCTTATGTTTTATATTGTTGTCTGCTGTGAAGGTTGTATATTTTTCATAAAGTGATTAAAAGTAGTAAATAGTTTGTGCATTTAGCCTACGTAGCGCCACGGGCAATAATTGCCAATATAAATCCGTGGTATCGCCTTCTATCGGTCATATGGTTGTTTGAACGTTGGTTTTTAGTCGATTTTGTAATTTTTTCTTTTCTTCTGGAATGTTTGACGGTCATGTGGCTGGTGAAAATGCCTATCAGGCTTATGGCATAGGAAATCACAATACCAGGGAAAATATAAAGATATTTCTTTTGAACTTGGACTCTTTGTTATATGACATAAACAGAAAGGAAAATAATTGGTTACTGTCACTTGATAAAAAGATTGTTGTTGTTTATTATGTAAAAAAAACCATAGTAGATTCTCTTTCATACTATGCCTGTATCAATTGTTTATATAGAGTGTAAAAAAAAACATAGTAGATTCTCTTTAATACTATGCCTGTATTAGTTCTGGCTTCCAAAACTTTATAAGCAGCTCTTTAACATTTTTGTTTTTTCATCTGATGCGGCATGTCATAGTATATAAACTGGTACGCTGAAGACCTTAAGCTATGCCTGTATCAATTGTTTATATAGAGTCTATATAAACAATTGATACAGGCATAAACAACAACAATCTTCTTTCATTCTTTATTCATCACTCAATATAAAACCTAAAAACTGTCCTCATAAATCCTGTCGTTGAAGTTATTGGATTGTGGGTGCATAATCTCAGTAGTTGGGAAGTAGTCATTACATCAACCAGGCGTCAAATGAAGCTTTAATGTTGTTTTTTTTTAAATATTTTTTTTCTCAAAACTTACTGAATTAATCCAATAACGAACAAATCATTATCAAAATAGGTATAATAAATAGACATACTTCTTCAATGTATTCTATTCATTAATGAAATTTTGTGTCATAATTTGATTACAACAAACATATTGATGATAAAACCACTTTATATACATGAACCATGCCTACTATGCCTTTAATTATAAAATAAGATTGACGAAACCTCTTTCGCACCTTTTCATAATGTTAGTCCGCCGAAACAGTAGTTTGACGAAACCACCAAAATTCATATAAATCCATGGTAGCACTTTCTCTCAGGCCTAATTTTTGTTGGAACGGTGGTTTTTTGTCGATTTAGTAATTTTCTCTACTCTAAGTACTGGCATGTGTGGCGGACATGGTAAGGTGCCTAAATGTTGACATGGTCATTATAAATATTCAAGGTTTATTCGCCTGTGATTTTCATGGCCTTTGTGGTTTTTTTTTTGCCGCAAAGGATCAACTTGGACTTATACTGACTCGGACCAGTCAACTCGGCCTTCTATTAGAAACCTATTTCGGTATGGATTGTTAACATTGTTATGAAAAAAATTTAGGAGTGTATTACTATAGAAGTATTCAAAGGTATAATCGCATGGCCAACAGAAATTGAAAAAGTTGGCAGTGAACACGTACGTGTTGTTTGAAATAATCTTTGTTAGGAAGAGATGTTGCGACAATAAATGTTGAATATTGGTCTAGAATTTTTATGACAATAATGGTACTTGTTTTTTGCACTGTTCCTTGAAATTATCTTTGTTAAGAAGAGATGTTCAAGTTGAGACAATAGATGTTGAATAGTTATCTTTAAATTGAATCTTTATGGAAATAAATGTAATTGTTGTTTACACTGTTTGTTCCTTGGCGGCCAATGCAGTTTGAACAGTACGTTCTGCAAAGAGCAGATGAAGTGGGCTAAGGAAATTGGCATTCTATAAGGAAATAATTCTGAATTTACGACAAATGTAACCCTGTTTGCTATAAATATATGCAAGGAATGCATTGCTTTCTTCACAGTTAATACACATTTGATCTAATTATGCACATGGGAAATCAATGTCAACAAACTTGTTTTGATGCACAGTACAAATTTATTTCTTTTACAATTCAGGGGTTTTTTTTACGGAAAGGGGAAGATGCTGGGTGCTGGTAGGGAGGGGAAAGATATGTGAAAAATGTCGATTTGGGGAAAATTATGAGGTTAATAATTCTATAATATATCTTTTTTCCCCTGAAAAACTTTATCATCATGCAAAAAAAACTTTGTGGTGTAACATCTTATTATGTATGGTGGTGAATGGTTTTTATACTTCCATTATTGTATGAAATTTAATGCGGCATACTATAGGTGTAATAGTGTATCTGTGACACACTTCAACTCCATACAAGTCATTTTCAATGCAAAATATATTACTTTCATAAAAATAACCAAGAAAATGGCAATATTTTGTTAGCAACTGATTTGCAGAAATAGTACCGTTCAGTACAGGATATAGCTAAGAAAAAAATGGCAACCTCATTGTTGAGATTTTGCTTGCAGTTTCCGGCATTTTTTTTGGTTATTTTTGGCTGCAATTGGTGGGTTATCCTTGATAAAACTCAGAAAGTTAATATTTTAAACCATAATAATATTTTATTTGATTTAGTTCAATAGGAAAAATTAATGTTTCAGGAAATATCACTCATGTGGTTATATATACTTGGTTTTTATTGCATACAGTATCGCTTAACAATGGTATTTCTGTTTATGTCCACCTTCAAATTTGATGATTCTTTTGAGGGAATCTTTCAGTGTTGTACTGGGGATTTATCTGTCATGGATTGGGAATTACTTGTCTATTTTCTATTGGGAGCGTTGCCTTTTTACCAGTATCAGTTGTATAGGGGAAAACCATTGCAACAGAATTGTGCACACTATGAACTGTCATGACAAATTCCTAATGAGAAGCCCAAATTACTTCCCTTTTATGCTAGAGTTGCATGTCCTTATTAGTTTTTGGGTATATTTTTTTGTTCCTATTTAATGAAAAGAACAAAACTATTTGTTAAACATTTGACATTTTGGTTAAGAATTTATTTAAGAACTAATGCTAGAGGGAGCAGATTTTTTTTGGAAAAATAAACAATTATCTTCAGTCGGTAGCAGTATAGTCAGTGACATCGGCGCATGGAGTGCCTGTGACTTTTTGTAGGGGAAAAGATAGGGCAATAGATTAGAAAAGGGGGGAACCTGAAATCAGATTTAAACATGTGAAAATGGTATTTACCTTCATATTTGTGGAAGAAGAAATTATTTCAATTTGATTTGCCATGCATACTATTGTGGGGAAATGCTTTTTCCTTGATTAAAGGAAAATGTTACAAAAGTTGGGTTGAAAATAGACACATGTTATTTTATATAAAGGACGTTTGAGTGATTAAGATTTAATAGATTGTTTTATCCTTTTTTAGGCATTATGTGCTTGTGAAGTTTAAAAGTTAAGTGTAGATGTGTTTATGGAGTTCAAGTATTGGTATTGGCACAACTAAGGCGTTGGGAGGCACAGATATAGCGAAGTGTTCATGTAAGTTATTTGTTTTCTTTGTGGAAATCATGGGTTTGGTTGGAGCTGCTATCAACATTTGTAGTGCTTGTGCAAGTGTGTGCTTTTGTTGTTGATGAATACTTTTTCTTATTAAAAAAAAAAGAAATTATGCATTTGCCTTAATATTTGGCAAGAAATTGTTACTGAATTTTTTATGTGCATTTGTTTTTCTAAAAAAATTTAAAGTTGAAGAAAGAAAATTTGGTGTGCATAAAAAACATCCAACGGTCTGTTAAAGATATAGTTGATGGTTGCTCGAAACAATAAATGTAAAATCTTAAGTTTCTATTTTTTACAAATTTTGGGCAGCAAAGTTTATTGTAAATAAGCATGTCTGGAAACACAAAAGCCTTAAAGCAAGGTATATGCTTATCTTTTTAGGTTGAAAAGTAATTGCATCAAAAACTGGTAGTAGGCATGTGTAGTGTTGTGTTCCTGTGACAGTCCCTTTATTTATCATTGTTTGCCTTCATTATTGTTCTTTTCCCCCTTTTTAGGTTTGGCTTTGTGGAGTTGAAGAGTCGATATTGGCAAATTTGGAACATTGGTAGATTGGGATATAGAAAAGTGTGCGTGTTATTGGCAAATGTAGAACATAGGAAGATAAGGTTATAGTGCATTGTGCAGGTATGTTGATTCCCCCCTTTCTAGCCCTTGACTAACATAATTGGTAGGTTTTTATTATAGAAACTTGCCATAAATGGGTACATGGAAGTGTTCAATTATGGAAAACTGAAAAATAATGAAGACTTTGTGATAAATAGTTTTCAAGATAATGAGATATTAGAGAACTAACTAGTGACCCAAAATCAGTAGGGGTTCTCTTATAGGTATCACCAATCAGTATTTGAAATATGAAGACTTTGTGATAAATAGTTTTCGAAATTAATAATAGGGGTCATCTACTGCTTATGAACATTCATTAATAAATAAATAAACATGGAATTTCAAAATGCTGGACAATATATGGTTTGATAATCTGGTAACAATTAATTAATTGATAACTGAATTCTAATTTAATAAGACCTACATTTTGTATCTTCTATTAACCTTTAAAAGAACGAAAACAAAGCGCAAGGCATAATTTTCTGATTCAAAAACCAGACCATGAAAGAATTTTTTGAGTAGGGGTAAATTTTGTGAGTCGGTCGCGTTACTGCAAACAAACATTTTTTTAAAGGATGTCCTAACTATGTAAATTTGAAGCATTTTTCATAGACACAGCAGTTTGAACTTGTTACAGGGACTTTTCAATGAAAACGGCAAATTTTTGCAATATGCTAATGGGGTAAAAGGTTATGATAACCTACACTAACATAATATTCTATAAATCACATATCCTGCATTCAGACTGTTCAAGCAGAAAAGAATAATTTTTCATTGACACATCTATAGTGTTACACTGTGTATTTGCACTATGTTTGTATAAACATATAATGCCACGTCAAAATATCAAAATGTTTGTTGACACTTAGAACCACATTCATGAATTTTATAAGCCTGAATTTTAGCTAATATTTTAATAAAAAAAGTCATAGACCTATGACAAGCTTTCTAGAAAGGACATACAGTTCAACTTCGTTCGCTCGAGCTTGGATGGCTCGAATACCTCCCTCCGCTCGAACTCATCGCCAAGTCCCGGCAAATTCCTATATAATATATATTGTTCTACCTCGGATCGCTCGAACACCCATGGCTCGAACCTGATCTCCGGTCCCTTCAGAAGAAATATAGTGTAAGTCACACCTTTTTGGTCGAACACAAACAGGCAACAAAAGTTGCATGTCGACAGGTTCTAAATAATTGACAGGCGCGACACATGTTTTTAACACCATGTGATGGTGACAAGGGCAATTAAGGTTAACTGATACAAATTAAAAGGTGTTGATACCGATTTGTTTGTTATGATAAAATTGTATATTTGCCGTCTTTAGTAATAATAAAAAGAAAATAACCCCTGAAATGCCAAAAGTCAATAAATGAATGACGATTACCTGGATGGCTTTAATTACAACCGTGCTTCATGCAATGTGAATTGTAACAGTGTAATCTATTTATATATGGTACTTGTACGTGTGTTTATTTTAGTAAATGACTACAAATAGATGCTGCTGTAAGATGTTCTTTTGTTGATATTTAATTAATGCATTGTTTAAAATAAAATTCATCCCATAATAAACATATAAATATATTTTGAACATTGTTCACAGTTTGGATAATGATTGCCCCATCGAACCCAACCAATTACAATATGCATGAATATAGATTAACACAGTGACCGTTAAATATGTTTTCAATAGGATAATAATTCTAACTAGGAAAATTCAACAAATGAATGTACTGTAAACAATTTTATTGACGTATTTATCATTTGACCGATGTAGGTTTGAAAACCTAGAGGCCTTTGTTCTATGTAATAATAGTTCGACCTCGGTTGGCTCGAACTACCGATCTCTTGAACAAATTTGCACATGCCCTCGGACTTTGAGCGAACGAAGTTCGACTGTATATTAAAGGAATTACATTGGCAGCAAAACTTTGGGACTTTAGCAAAATCTGTTATATAAATTGTAAAAGCTGTATATCAGTAATACATAATTTATAAATTTACTACTGTACATTTCAGGCACTCCACCATGCACTCTTGATGTAGAGTACTCCTACCCTTTGGATTATGCCCAGCAAGTGCACTATCCCAATTCCCTATTCTCAATATGTTGGTTCAATATGTATTAGGACACCAAGAAAGTTCCATGAGATTTGTGTTTGTGCAGAGGGATCAGGTTAGTTTGCCATAATATTTTTTGACATATTTTATCATGAGCATGTTGTAAAAAATATTTAAGAATATTATAAATATAAAGGTATTTTTTTGTAATTTTCTGATATAAAATGTGTTCCTTTGCCATACATTTTTAGCTCACCTGTCACAAAATGACAGGTTGAGCTTTTGTGATCGCTTTTCGTCCAGCGTCCGGCCGTCCGTCTGTGAACTTTTACTTTAAATGACATCTCCTCATAAACCATTAAGCCAATTTCATCCAAACTTCTCAGGAATGTTCCTTTGGTGGTCACCTTTAAAAATTGTTCAAAGAATTTAATTCCATGCAGAACTCTGGTTGCCATGGCAACCGAAAGAAGAAACTTTAATTATCTTCTTTTACAAAAACCCAAAGAGCTAGAGCTTAGATATTTGGCATGAAACATCTTCTAGTGAGTGTCTACCAAGTTTGTTCAAAAACAAATGCCCTGGAGTCAAAATTGGCCCTGCCCCAGGGGGTCATTGATTTTCCAAATATGCATATAGTAAAAACTTAAAAAAATCTTCTTTTAAAGAACCAAAAGAGCTAGAGCTAAGATATGTAGCATGAAACATCTAAAGAGTGTCTACCAAGTTTGTTCAAATAAAAGCCCTGGGGGTCAAAATTGGTCCTGTCCCAGGGGTCATTGATTTTCCCTATATGTATATAGTAAAAACTTAAAAAATCTTCTTTTAAATAACTCAAAGAGCTAGAGCTGAGATATTTAGCATGAAACATGTTCCAATGGGTGTCTACCAAGTTTGTTAAAATAAAAGCCCTGGATTCAAAATTGGCCCCGCCCCAGGGGGTCATTTATTTTCCCCATATGTATATAGTAAAAACTAAAAAAATCTTCTTTTAAAGAACTCAAAGACCTAGAGCTAATAATATTTAGCACGAAACATCTTCTAGTGAGTGTCTACAAAGTTTGTTCGAATAAAAGCCCTTTGTTAAAATTGGCCCTGCCGGGGGTAGGGGACGGCAGATCATTGTTTTTCATTATAAGTGTGTATATCATGAATCATCTTCTTATAGGTGTCTTCCAAGTTTGTTCAAATAAAAGCCCTGGGGTTCAAACTGGCCCAGCTCCGAGGGCCTACATACAGGTGAGCGACCTTAGGGCCATCATGGCCCTCTTGTATAAATATTCTTTTATGCCATGGTATTTTTCAGTTGTGAAAAGAATATTCAGTTAAAAATAATCTTAATTATGCCCCCTACGAAGAAAAGGGGGTATATTGTTTTGCAAATGTTGATCTGTCCGTCAGTAGACCACATGGTTTCCGCTGATTATCTTGAAAACTATTTATCACAAACTCTTTAATTTTTCACATAGTGATTGGCCATAACTAGTAGATGGTTGGCCATAACTAGTAGATGGTCCCTATTGATTTTTGGGTCACTATGTTAAAGGTCAGGGTCACAGAGGCTTCAAATGTCAAGATGGTTTCCGCTGATTATCTTGAAAAGTATTAAGCACAAAGAAGTCATATTTCACATATTGATTGGTCATAGCTAGTAGATGGCTCCTATTGATTTTTGGGTCACTATGTTAAAGGTCAAGCTCACAGGGGTCTTAAATGTCAGAACGGTTTTAGCTGATTATCTTGAAAAGTATTCAACACAAAGTTGTCATATTTCACATATTGATTAATCATAATTAGTGGATGAACCAAAGTAATTTTTGGGTCAAAGGTCAAGGTCACAGGGTCATCATATTTCTGATTTTGATTGGTGGCCTCTATTGATTTTTGGTCTGTAGTTTTCTAATATCTGATTATCATTTGAAAACTATTTATCACAAAGTCTCCATTATTTTTCTTTTTTCCATAATTGAACACTTCCATGTACCCATTTATGGCAAGTTTCTGTAACAAAACTACCAATTACCGCCTCCGTGGTCGAGGGGTTAGAGTCGATGACTTCTAATCCAGGTACCTCTCTGGCGTGGGTTCGATCCCCGGGAGATGCTTTGGTAGTTTAGCGCGGAGGAAGGTTGTCTAGTACTGGTGTAACTCTCCAGGAATGATGGTTAGGGAACTACCCGCCTATATGACTGAAATACTGTTGAAAAAGGCGTAAAATGAGACAAACAAACAAACAAAATGTGTGTCAAGGGCTAGAAAAGGGGGCATATGTGTCGTTCGACATTTTTGTTTTAAGTTTCATTTTAAGTGCTATTTATATCCTATACAATTTTTTTAAACTTCTAATTTATATGTATTTTAGGACTTAATGGAAGTGTCAGTCTCAACATGCTCTGGAAAGGGGAGAAACAATGCAACAGGTTGCCAGTATTGTCCTGCAGACATCAAGACATGGTCACAATATCCCACTGCTTATAGATGATCTAAAAAGCCATTGAAAGTCATTTTAATAGTAAAACCCCTGAGGCCTGCTGCTATAAGGACTAATGCTATATTGACTAGTGTGTGGATCATATTAATTAATGGTTGCCTATGTCAGCTTACCAGTAACTTACTTCCATAATGTTAAAACTTTTCATGTGATTGTGTTTTGTGTAATACAACATTTGTCATGTCACTTTAAGTATAGAATTGCATTGAACATATGCATTTCATGAATTGATCAACTGTAATCCTGTCTTTATAAGTTTTTAAAGTCTTGATTTCAAGATAAATAAACAGTTTTAGTTGTTTGTGTGACTATATCTCATTGAAAATGACTGCATTAAATGTGAAGTGATAAGCTTCAGTACTTGCTGTCAAGTTTTAAATATTTTATACTTTTAGGATATGAAAACTATTTTATCTATGACAATGATAGATGAGTGAATTTTTTATGTTGATATTAGTGTAGAATGACTTGGTAAAATTTGCATTAATCCTGAACAGAAGCATCAAAATCAAAGAAATTTGCATGGTAGCTAGGCAACTAAAATTTCCTTCAGTTAAAAAGGATTTTTAACAGGAAGAACATATTAATATTAAAAAGACTCTGTATGTTTGATATCATTGTAACTCTTTCAGAACTTAATCTCCTGCATGCCTGAAAATTTGGAAATTTAGAAATTTATAACAAAATAATATATGATAACTCGAAGTGCAGTGCAGTGCAAAAGAATTGGTACTGTGAACTTCTTATTTTTTGAGTAATTGCCGTTTGTTAATTTTCATACTTCAAATTTTGTCTGGGCCATTTCTCTTCAACTATAAAACCTATGGACTTAAACTTCATAGAATGATAGATCTCATTTAGAAAAAGTGCATTGCACAAGGACTGGTACTTTGAACTTCATAATTTTTGAGTTATGGTCCTTTGTTAATTTTCATATTTTACTTTTGTCCAGGTCATTATACCCCCACCACAAAATGTGGGGGGGGGCTATAATGGATTCGCTTTGTCGCGTCGGTCGGTCGGTCCGTCCGTCTCCATTTTCGTGTCCGCTCTATAACTCCTATACCACTTGAAGGATTTTCTTCAAACTTGGCTCAAATGTTCACCTCAGCAAGGGGATGTGCAGAACCCATGTTGCCCATGTGTCAGCTCAAGGTCAAGGTCACAATTGAAGGTCAAATATCAAACACAATCATATATTAGACAGTATGTCGTGTCCGCTCTGTAGATCCTACAATAATTGAAAGATTTTCTTCAAACTTGGCTAAAATGTTCACCTCAACAAGGGAATGTGCAGAACTCATGTTGCCCATGTGTCATTTTAAGGTCAAGGTCACAATTGAAGGTCAAATATCAAACAATCAAATATTACACAATATGTCGTGTCCGCTCTGTAAGTCCTACACTAATTGAAAGATTTTCTTCAAACTTGGCTCAAATGTTCATTTCAACAATGGGATGTGCAGAACCCATGTTGCCCATGTGTCAGCTCAAGGTCAAGGTCACAATTGAAGGTCAAATATCAAACAATCAAATATTACACAGTATGTCGTGTCCGCTCTGTAAGTCCTACACTTATTGAAAGATTTTCTTCAAACTTGGCTCAAATGTTCACCTCAACAAGGTTATGTGCAGAACCTATGTCACTCTTTTGCCGGCTTAAGGTCAAGGTCACACTTGAAGGTCAAAAATTAACTTAGAAAATGTTCTTTAATTTTAACATATATCTGAATATTTCTGAATCTAGAAAAGGTATTTGCTTGAAACTTAAAATATAAATGAAGTGTCACAATTAAGATATGCTGGTCAAGTTTCATAACTCTGTATTGCATTTTAACAAAGTTGTGCCCCTTTTTAATCTTCAAATTTACATACAATCATATTAGACAATATGTTGTGTCCGCTCTATAAATCCTTTACTAATGGAAGAATTTTCTTCAAACTTTTCTCAAATGTTCACCTAAACAAGGTTATGTGCAGAATCCATGTCACCTTTGTGCAGGCTAAAGGTCAAGGTCAGACTTGAAGGTCAAAAATTGACTTAGAAAATGTTCTTAGATTAAAACATGTTCTTGAAATTATTTCGGAAACTAGCATAGGTATTTGCTTGAAACTTAAAAGATATATGAGGTGTCACAATTACGATATGCAGGTCAAGTTTCATAACTCTGTATTGCATTTTGACAAAGTTATCCCCCTTTTTAAGTCTTTAAATTTACATACAATCAATACTAGACAATATGTTGTGTCCGCTCTATAAATTCTATACTAATGGAAGGATTTTCTTCAAACTTTACTCAAATGTTCTCTCCAATTGGGCGATGTGCAGAACCCATCATACCCTTGTGCCAGCTGAAGGTCAAGGCCACACTTGAAGGTCAAAAATTGACTTATAAAAGTTTAGTATATTGGGAAAATGAAAGGTTATTTGTAACTGTTTCGAACATGATTTGATAATAGATATTTTTACTATTACCTGTACAATTAGTCTTTTTTTCACCAGAGATAATTTCTTTTTATGTATTTGTGCCACTTAAGTTATTCCCTTAACCACCTTTCCAAGTTGTCTTCTGTCAAGGACATTGGTGGGGGTATGAATCGCATTCAGCGATAGTTCTAGTTACTCCTAAAGTACAAAAGCTATGGACATGAAACTTCATAGGATGATAGATCTCAATAAAAAATGTGCATTGTACAAGAACCAATAATCTGCATTTCTTATTTTTGAGTTATTGCCCTTTATTAATTTTTCATAAATTATAAGAGCTATGGACTTGAAACTTCATAGGATGATATATCTTATTGATAAGAAGTATAGTGCAAAGAAAATGCTGCTCTGCACTTCTTATTTTTTGAGTTATTGCCCTTTGTTATTTTTCTTGTTCTGGCCATTTCTCCTTAACTACATTGTTCACAAGGCGACATATCCGACTCGTGAAGTTCTGGTTCATTCAAATAGCCAGTTGTGCACTTAAAATTTGTTAAATTTAAAACAAAATTATGGAATATATTGTGGCTGCTTGGCAACACTGATTGATTTTAGCTTGACTGTTCGATTAAAATAAGTAGAGCTTTTGTAGTCACCCAAACGTCGGTGTATACGTAACAACTTATGTCGAAGTTTTTACGATATACCTCAAATATTTTCAAAGTCCATTGCCATATGGCTTTGAAAATTTCCACAATTGTTCGCCATCATGATTCCAACCTGTAGACAGGAGGAGGTGACTGTATCAAGCATTTTAGAATAATTTTTTTACTTAGTATTTACGTTATAAAGTTTTTGTAATACCTCAAATATTTTCAAAGTCCATTCACATATGGCTTTGAAACTTTGTGCACTTATTCACCAGCATGACCCTTACCTGTAGACAGGAGCAGGTAACTGTACTAAGCATTTTGACAGAATTATGCCCCTTTTTTCGACTTAGAATTTACATTTAACTTTGCATATTACCTCAGATATTTTCAAATTCTATTGACATTTAGCTTTGAAACAAGTTGAAATTTTATACTCTTCTTTGAGAGCATAATAGGACTCTCTTCAAGGCGTACTGTAACATGGTTTTAAAGGAAAATTATTCCCTTGTTAACTAAGAAAATTTTACATTATCGAGGCCTTTTTACTGTCAAGCACTAATAATAGTCCAGCATTGCTTCCCTACCTACAGTTCTTGTTTCTAATTGTTTAGGTATTAAGTAAACCAGTTATACAGCAGATAGATAGATATATATTATATTATATGGAAATTAACACTTGATCAAACAATAACATGCAGGCAAAAATACTGAGTTTCTGCTAAAATTAACATGGTTTTCTATCACTAGTCAAGTGTACAGAACCTGTATGTAATATCTTAAATGAAAGATTTTTTAAAAGTAAATAATAGACATTGTAATTTTATTGAAAATTAATTTATCTCTGCTGCTTTGTTAGCTGTAATTTGCAAAGTAATATGTGAAAACTTTAAAATAAATTTTTAAAAAATATTCAACGGTTGCTAGCTGCCTTTATGTTGTATTTGTGTAATGATATCCTTTATTTGGTACAACTACCTTTTATGTTGTTACACTTTAGTCATATTTAATTTACTGTTGTATTAAACTGTTATCTGTTGTCACAGTAAGTGTTTGTCAGAATAAGATTAAATAATAAATGGACACTGTGTTTAGTTCTTCTATGTGTTTGGACTTTACATCTCCTGGATGTTTCACCCCTGTACGTTTCACCCTCAAAACCCTGGTCTTTCATCTCCACTTTTTATTATATTATGGTATCTCTAAACAGTATTATAACCTGTTAGCACTATAGAAATGCAATAGAACCATTTGGTGTTGATTGTTGCAAGTGTTATAAAATACACATTACACACACAAAAAAAACAGGAATAGGTCCGTTGCTATATCTCATGACATGTTCATTTTACATAATACCTTTCATGCAGCAAACCTTAAGTCTTCACAAAAGTAGTATGCAATCGTACCTATATTACATACGAATGTATGTAATATTTTTCTTGTTTACAGTCTTTCTAGTATCAGCACTGTTGTCTGCTAAAATTTGCACAGTCCTTCTAGTACCAACGCTGTCGGCTGCTCAAGTGTACAATTTTTCAAGTGGCAACACTTTCGGCTGCTCAAGTTTGTACAGTCTTTGCAGTGCCAGAACTGTCGGCTGCTCAAGTGTACAGTATTTCCAGTGCAAGCACTGTCGGCTGCTCAAGTTAAATCTGTTTTGTCTTGCGAGTTGGACAAATCGAGTATACAATGTCGGTTATGAAATTAAATGCAAAATTTTACAAAAACGCCATAGGTAATTTGCAAATATAGCGTGAAATGTATCATCCACATTCAATGCATATAAAACGATTTTGGAACGTTCGTGTTTTGAAGAAAAAATATAATTCAATTGCATAAAAAATGAAGAGTAGGAAAAATAGCAAACTCAAAATTTTCCTAGGAATTATATCATGATAATATAAAAATTTCATAGCATAAATAAAAGGACGAAACAATTATTAAAGTCTGTCCTTTGAAAAAGGGCGGACAGTTCTTTGGGGTTTTTTGTATTAGACGGGTAATCCTGTGATGCGTGTATGTGGTCGTACTGTCACTTTCTTCCTTCTTAGCATGTCCTCGATGCGTGAATATGGTCGCACGGTCGAAAATCTCTAAAACATTAATCAAGAAATAACATCTTCCTGAGAGGTGTATATCGGCTATTTAACACCGGTTTGGAGTTTTGATATACACCTCTCAGGCCGATGTTATTTCGATTCTAACACGATTAAATAAGGAAAATCACTAATGTTATTTTTCAAGCGGAAATCACTTCCGGTGCCGATTTTCGTATAACGCTGTTCGATTTTCGCACCCTACTGTTGCGAAGATATAGAAATTATTTAACAAAAGAAATAATAAGAAAAAAACGTTATTTTATCAAGTTTTCAACAATAAAAACTTACTTACTTATTGTGTTTACATCAGTGCCCCATTTATCATTCTTGTATGTATGAAATAACGTCAGCTTGTTTATGAATGAGTTGTTTACTTAGGATGACGTCATTACGCTGCTTACGGATTGGCGCCGTTTTGGCAAAATATTTATTAACTGATATGGATCTAATATGTGGCGTTAGTGTATGTGAGCTATTATTTCGGTATTGTATGAAAAGAAAACATTATACGAACTGAAAATATAAATAAAAATGCTTTTTATTGTTGCTTTAAAAGGCTTTGTAAACTATATAATCGAGGGTGAAAACATAACAGCGCATATACAAGTAGTCCCTAACCGGTGTTTATTGGCAGTTTAACACCAGTTTTTTCCTTCTTTGTCTATAGTGACAAAATCACGTGAGTGTTAGAATGCCGTTTACAAAGCAATTCGACATGGAGGCGTGAGTTATAAAAGCCAAATAAGGGCTATGCAACTTTTAATGACACTTTATCCTCTAAAATAGGAGAAATGAAAAAAACGATTGCTTCGAACTTTGTAAATCCCTGATACAAATATCCTTTCCACTTAGAAATTTTACTCTTAACCATGACAAGTACGTCTAAAATATGTCTTTTACACACTTAATAAGGATGTTCAAAAGCCATTATAAGAATAAGGATAATTAAATTATAATCATGGCTTTGTATGTCCTAATTAGGAGTTTAGAAATGAAATCTTGATAATGTCTTTTTTTAAATTAAGAGTTACAAAGTTCAAATTGATATTTTATTTCTCCTTAGTAAGCTTCTTCAGCTCCTAGGAATTACGATTTTGAAACTTCTTATGGAAGGTTACAGAGTTCTTATTAGGGTATTTTTATTTCGTTATTAGTAGTCACGAAATACTAATTGGGCTATTATAACTGCTAATTAGGAGTTTATTTTAAAAGGACAAATTAAATGTTCTACAACGAAAGTAACTCATTAGGAGGATTCAATGTTATAGAACAGTCACTGAGGACCTTTTATGTGCAAAAAAGGTCCAAGGATAAATGGTCTACATATTTGAAGTTCACAAAAAAATTTGGATAAAGCTATACATGTTAAATCTAGGTACGTTTTGTGAAATCGAGATGGCTGCCAAATTATTGAAAAATGGCTCTTTTATCTGAACAATGTGTTCTTTTTAGTATTATTTTAGTAGAAGTGCTGTAAGAATTCCTCATCCAATTTAATTAATTTGCCAAATGCCAAATTTGGACATTCTGATTGGTCGAAAAAGCAGCAAGCGGGGGATAATATGAAAGATCACACTGATACTTATATTTAATCATTGATATATAGTTTGAGTATTAGATGAAATTCACGATGAATCATTCTTTTTATTGAATTATACATTTAACCCAGCATATAAACTGATTTTTATTATGTACAAAAAATCTTAGGACCCGCTTTTTAAAAGAGAAACTAAACAAATATTTTTCGTATAAATTTGAATTTTAAAAACAACCATCAATTCCAATAACAACACACGTCATCCCCATGTATGATTGATATCCACAATCTCACGCAGTGCGGGTCATCGTGGATACCAAACATGGTTGAGATACATTAACAACAAAAACATACAACACTAAAACACATATCACTCTTATGCATGTTTGATGTTCACACTCATAAGCAACGCGAATTCTTGCAAACAATCATACTTACATGGGAGATCTTAAACAATCAACAAAATAAACATGTAACAAAATATAAGAAATATAAACACTTTGCTTTTTATAAAGTTCTATAACACTGTATTATATTAATATTGTTTTGATTAACTGTATAATAAAAACTTTTTTCAATTAAACAAAATATATTTGAAATTTAATCAATGAGACGTGTGTATTTTTATAGATACAAATGAGAGGAACCGGGTTTACAATACATGTTAGTAACAAATTTAATGAAAGATAAAATTGTGTGTGTTTCTGTATTAAACAAATTGTATGATAAATTTTAATCACGTTTTATCTATAAATGTTTTTATACGAAACAGGTATGTTATTCACCTAAGTTACATTTAAAAAAATAAAAGTAATGACACATAGATAAAATGGAATGTTACGGGGAAAACCCGTATGAGACAGACCTAGCAAACGAAATAAATGAAAATACATAAAGTAAGAAAGTAATATTAAAGGCATGATACAAATACAAACTCGGCCTATTCGTCTCACACAGTTCAAAAAGACAAGGAAAACGTTACGCCGACGTTTAAATATCTATTCCATCAATCACGACAAAATGCGTAGCGAAGATTCCTTTTATACCAAGAAATAGAAAGAAAAAACAACAAAGGGAAGCTACTTATATGTATAAAAAACAGACATCATTGAATAGTTTTTCTCCCTTTCCAGAAGATGAGGTGAACGGCACATCACGACGATAACGGCCATCATTATGGAACGAAAAAGAAAACAACAAACAGCATCAAAATTATAATTTCAAATTAAGTTTTATCAGATAGAAGTCAATGAAACACATTCTATTGAAAGCCATTTCATTTTCGTTTAAACACACGAAACCAAATATTGAAAAAGTGAAGAGAATTAAAACGTTTTTCATCAAAGTATATTCTCTATCTTAGACAGGAATTTTTCAATGACAGTTCGGGCGTTTGAAAATAAAAAGTTTCGAAAAAAGAAATTCAAAAATGAAATCATTCATTTGGGCGTAGATCATTAACATATTCGTAGCTGCTAATTGATTTTACAGGTATGCTTAGGATGTTACCTTATTCGAATATGCGTTTCCTTTTATGCACAATCAAAACTTCAATTATAAAGAAAGGGAGTAAAAATATGATATAAACAATTTCTTTGGAATTTTCTCTTTTTTCAGCGTAATAATGCTAATAAACCTCGTCAAAATCCAAAAAGGATTAGAAATTGTCCAATATATTACAATCATTTTTTCCAGAAGAATCAAATCAGTGAAAAGTTAACATTTATTGCATTTTTTATATCTATATCTATATGCAAAATAAAGATCTTGTTTGCAACTTAGCGTTTGCAGCACAATGGAAGGGGGTGAGTGAGCTGTATGGAATATCATTTTATATTTTACCTTGTAACTATAAATCAGTGTATTATTTTTTTAAGTTTAACTTAGTAATATTCATTCAATTTATATTCATTTCAAATTATGTAGAATAGTTTTGACACTGTGAATCAGATCTTTGCGGTGAACTATTGCCAACTACTATCGTCACAAACCTAATTCAACTTTTGTTTATTTGACCGTAAAAAGAATACCAGTATTTACAAAATATATCACTACATTATATAAATATATAATACACGAGAACAATGTATAACCATGTAGGAGACATTATGTCTAAATTCTTTTATTTTCGCCGACTTTAGATAACAAATTGGCGAGTCTGTTTATACCAACATGCTTTATGTGCGTGAGGCATTTAACTTGAATGAAATAACTTAAATATTTCGAATGAAAATTGAAAGACTAGAGTTGAGAACAAAA